CTCTTTGGTTTCTTCGAGATTGTATGTTTGACGAGGTATGATGGAACCTTGAATTAGATTGGTTTGTGTTTTTTTCCTTTTTCCAGTGGTAATCCGTCAGGTGGATCACCTAACACTTCTCGAAAATCCTGTAACAAAGATGAAAACACACTAGGCAAATCCTTGTTAATGTTAGAAATCGAAACAATTGATTCTCTAAAGCGAACAAGGATGAAAGGCTGTTTGTAAAGAAGGTTCTCTCTCAATTCTTTTGTGCTCACACGTAGATTTTGAGTCACTATTTTCTTCTCACAATTAGGTTCACTCACCTCCCATGGGTCATTATACTTTTGGCTTTTGTAACTAGTGACCTCTTTTTCTTTTGCCTCTTTCTCAACTTTTTCTTTTTTGATTTCCCTACCTCCTCACAAATTTGATCTTTAGGGGCTAGAAGTGTGTCATTCTTTGCTGTCGTTCTTTCTCATTGTCAGGTTTGTCATCTCTTGGCTTTTTCAGAGAAGATGGAGTAGAAGATGAGGAAGGATTTGAAGGATTACCTTGGTAAGAGGATGAAGTACCTTGGTAATGTTCACTGATTCGAGATCTCCTTTGGATTTGTGCTTCGATTGTCATTGCTTTCTTTAGTGTATCTTCAAGGTTTTCGTACCCTTGTAGATCAAGAAGATCAGTGATGTTTGAGTTTAAGCCGACGACGAATCTTGATACGGTGACTTCTTCTTTTTCGGTTATGTTAGCCCTATTGAGTAAGGACTGCATCTCCTTGTAGTAATCTTCAACTGAACTTCTACCTTGTCGAAGTCGGTGTAGTCGTTGTTTAACTTCTCGTGTATAATGTGTCGGTAGGAATCGGTTCCTCATGGTTTGTTTGAGGTCGGTCCAAGAAGTGATTGTTGGAATTTGGAAGTTCTGGATCTTTTTCCTTGTTTGCATCCACCAAGTTCGAGCATATCCTTCAAATTGTATGGTGATCAGGTGAACTTGTTTAGCTTGGGGGCAGGGTATGCGAACATGAGATCAACTTTTCCTTCCCATTCGATGTACCTGTCTGGATCGTTGTCTCCTTTGAAAGACGGGATCATGAACTTTGGTTTTGTAAAGAGTTTGGGTGCTTGGAAACGTGGTTTTCTTTCTCGGGTACCAAAAGTTCAACATTGTTTGGTCTTGGATTATGGTTTGGTAGATTCAGTTGTGGTTCTTGTCGTTCTCTCACGATTTCATCAAATCTTTCAACTTGAGTCGTGAGTCGGGCAAGTGTGGCTAAGATAGCCGTAAGTGTCTTGTTGTTAGTGTCGCCCATTCTGAAATCATAACACTCAAAAGAAAATTTTAAAGTAAAATAAAAATAAATAAATTCAACAAAGCAAGAAACCTCACAAGTCACTCCAAGAAAGTAACACAACGAGAGGCAAGTAAGCCGATCTTGTACTCTTTAAAACTCACTTTACCAAGTAGTCTTTCACAGTTCGTATCGGAGTTTGATTACTAGCAAAGGCGATAAGAAAAACCTAAAAGCTCTAAGAGGCCAAACAAGGTTAGACTCCAAGCGAACGAGAATGCAAAGAAGGAAGAAGTATGCAAACTCTTTAGTCCTACTAACAATGAAGATAATGTGTTGGATAATGTAAAAGAACAATAACAAGGAAAAACAAAAGAACTTAAAGCACTAAGAGTCAAAGAAAAAAAAGAACCAACCCAGAAACCTGGAAAACGCTGGATCAATTTGAGCAACGTTTTTGAGAGGGTTACCGGTGTCAAAAAATTCTGGAAAAATTCTTGAATGTCTTTTGATGCGTCAAGAAACCACCTGTAAAATTCAGAACCAATACCTTCAGTAGTATCCAGTAGACTCTGTTGAACGGTGAGTCCTCAACAATCTGTTTTTCTTGATCGCTTTGTTCGAAGGTGTTGTTGATCTCCAAAAATTCTGATTTTTTGTTTGAATGATCTTCAATATGAATTTTCAATCTGGAAATTTTCACCACGAAATTCCTCCTGTAAAATTTCAAGAAATTCGACAAGATTCTAAACCGAATCTGCCGATGAACTTGAATGATGTATTTGAAGGCTCCAATGAACTCCAATTGGGGTGAAATTTGGACTGGGGATTAATCTTAGAATGAATATGATATATGGATAAAATCAGCCCTAAATACCTTCGTTTGCAATTTTTTGAAATTTTGGCTTTTTTTGGCTCTTTTTTTTTGTTTTTTTTTTTGCCGTTTTTTTTTGCCTTTTTGTTTTTTTTTTGTTTTTTTGAAAAAAAATAGCAAACTAACAAGAAGGATTTAAATCTAAATTAAAATTAAATAAAAAGAACCTGAAACGCTGAATCTTTTGTGAACTAGCTCCGTTGGGGTACCTTGACGATTTTGTGTGCAAGAACAAGCAAGATTGCTTGTTTCTTTCCAAGAATCGGCCCAAATCTGATACCAATTGATAGGGAAGCGGTGGCGGATTGATGAACGTTGCTCTTATTGAAGAATCAAACCTAGAAAGCTCTAGACTCGATGAAGAACAAATGTGAATATGGGAAGGTGGCAGCAGTCGCTAGGATTGTTAGGGTTTCTTTTATGTACTGGAATCAACAACACGATTAGAATAAATAAACAAAGATAATAAATGAAAGATGAAATAAGATAATAAAGAAATCAAAAGATCTCCCTTATGAAGGTGAACGGTAAAGATGATTGATGGTGCGGATGGATTTGTGGAAAATAGATGGATAAGTGTCCTATCGAGCCCTCCTAATCGCAATGAAAAGGCAAACACGATAAATGGCTCTAACCAACCCTCCTAGTCGCGATGAAAAGGCAAATTGGAGTGTGAAGATTAATCTCCCTCACAAGAACTTGAAAGAACTCCAGGAGAAGAAGCTTCGAAGGCACAAGGCAATCAGCACTTGCAAAAACGAACTCTCGTTGTATTATTAATCAAAGAAATCTGCTTTACAAAGTATAATGAAGCCTCCTTTATATAGGGCTGAGTTCTAAAGGTCCTAAATAACTAATGAATAAAATAATAATAAACTAAACATGTCTTAACTCTAATTCCTAATAAAATAATAATAACTAAAGATAATATTTTAACCCAACCTTAATTCCTAATAAAATAATAAATCTAATCCTAAAAGATAATGCATCATCCTATATTAAGTTATTACAAATATCAATATAAATATTGAAAATTCGTAATATTTACAAAATAACGTATTAATCCCGTATAGGATTTCCTGCATGCACCGTCTTCAGTAAAATGACCATATCTTGAGTTCCCGATATCGGATTGATGCGATTCAAGAACCGTTAGAAAGATAAGAGACAGACGGTTGTATCTCCAGAAGACATGTCGACCAAATAATATCAGGATCCCATTCAAAAAGTCGTCTCAAGTGCGCTGCTGTTCTGATCTTCTTTTCCAAAGCTTGGACGAGTGGATCATTTGGAAGAGTTATTACTTCTTCCTTTGATGTGAACCTTGTGATGCATGTATCATCCTCCCTTTCTTCAAAAAGATTCGACCTCGAATCTGAAACATTAAAGGGAGCAACATTAGAATAGTTTAATAATTCATTCACATTATGCTTACCGAATAGATATGCTTTGAATCTTCGAGACTTTGTTCTTCTAATAGGTTCGAGTAGAAACATTAGTCCAAAGAAGCATGTATTATGGACTCTGGTGCATGTATCAGTTCATTTTAGAGACTTGTGGGAAGGATTATTTATTTGTCACATACTAGACCAGACATAGCATATGCTATTGGAGTTGTGAGCCAATTTATGCACAATCCTAAGGAATCACATTTGAGGGTTGTGACTCAAATTTTGTAGTATTTGAAAGAGACATGAGGAAAAGGATTTCTGTTTAAAAGGGGGGGGGGAATTTGACTCTGGAAGCTTACACTGATGCAAACTATGCTGGATCCATAGTTGATAGAAGATCAACCTCTGTGTTGTACTTTCTTTGGAGGAAATTTAGTTACTTGGAGGAGCAAAAAACATAATGGTGTGGCTAGATCAAGTGCAAAAGCTGAGTGCAAAAGCTGAGTTTCGAGCTATGGCTTTAGGGATTTGTGAGTTACTATGGCTGAAGATCATTTTAGAGGATTTGAAGGTCAAATGGGATGGACCAATGAAGCTATACCGTGATAACAAGTCAACAATTAATATTGCTCATAATCCAGTTCAGCATGACAAAACAAAACATGTTGAAGTGGATAGACATTTCATAAAGGAGAAACTTGACAGTGGCCTGATCTGTACTCTTTATGTGACCACTGGAGGTCAAGTTGCAGATATACCTACCAAGGGCCTACCTGGTAAGTATTTTTAGAAGTTGACAGACAAGCTGAGGATGGAAAACATCCATGCCCCAGCTTGAAGGGATTAGAATTACTCCTAGAATCAAATACTTACCCAGATTAGTAATTTCCTAAGATAAGGAAACAGTGTTTATATTTAAGTTTTGTTTTTTTTTCTACAAACTGTACGATGAACACAAAGAAATAAACTAGTTTTGATAGAAAGAAATGAGCTTGATGCAATCTTTCAAAGAAAAAAACTAGAGTTAACCTTAGAATTAGGCACTGACAGAAGTACCTATGAACCCAAAATAAAATCAACAAATTGTGTTCCATGAACACTTTGGAGAATTGAACTACGGATTCTTCAATTTTTGTTCCTTCCAAAGTTCTGGGAGACATGATGCAAGATGGATATGTCATTCAAACAAATGAAGTTCATCAGAATCTCAACCTGTCTAAGACTAATTGACAGCATTCTCCTTTTCTTAAGAATTTAGAATTGTTGGGAAAACTTAACCAAGATTTTAAATAAAATTACTTTGGAAATCTTATCCTATAAGTTCTTGACATTGTTTCTAGAGACACATGAAATGATTGTGCAGGTAATTAGGCTTCCTGAAAATAGAACATTTTATCATATCTTAGTTCCTTTAGGGTTTATTTTTAGTCTATCCTTATTTTATATTTAATTTATTTACTATTTTTTTGTAGGTATGATTACTCTGGCTATGGTCAGTCAACTGGAAAGGTTGGTCATTTGGCTTATCTTTCTTGTGCTAATTTTGAGAACAAAAGTTGCCCTTATCCATGTTTGCTATAGCAATTTAACTATTGCAATGAACATTTAAATAATTACACAGTAATAATTTAAAAAATGCTTCTCCTTTTCTGCTAAAGAAGCATAATGTTCATTTTACATGCAAGATTTGAGTTCTTATGGTGCTCTGAGTTATACCTGTTGGGCAGTTTCTTTATATTCTATAATATCTAAATGTATTGGATGATCCAAATGTTTTCAGGATTCTATTTTTAACCTATAATTTTGATATTATATACACTAGTAAGTTTCTTTCCTGCACTGTGGGGATCTACCATTAATTTGCCATGTTCAATGTGTATCAAGACCTATGAATTTTCTGTGCAGTCATGTGATTTCTTGTGTTGTACTTATTGAACCAACATTTTACTGCTTGCTACAAACCTGTAATCTAAAAAATCATTCTTTTATTTGAAACAGCCAACTGAGTGTAATACATATGCAGACATAGATGCAGCTTACAAGTGCCTTAAGGAAGATTATGGAGTTAAAGATGAACAATTAATTTTTTATGGCCAGTCTGTTGGTAGTGGACCTACGGTTGATCTTGCTTCTCGTTTGCCCAACTTGAGAGGTGTTGTTCTACATAGCCCAATTTTGTCAGGCATGAGAGTATTATACCCTGTCAAAAGGACGTACTGGTTTGACATTTATAAGGTAAGTCGGTGTTTTTCACCGCATTTCTATTTTCTTGTTTTACCTTGCAGGCCGTGACCTTCATTACCCTTTTTTTCCATTCTAATTTCAGAATATTGACAAGATTGGAGCAGTGAACTTTCAGGTTTTGGTAATTCATGTAAGTATTGCTTCTATTTTTTAATCCCCTCCACTTGTTTTATCACTATTATCCCCTTCTCTTTCTCTAGCCTCCATTTACTTGCTACATTGATTTTCGTTTTATGGTTGCTCTGGAAATGAGGTACTTCAGCATTTTTCCGCATGTTTTTAACTAAAACCTATGAAAGAAAATCTTTAAAGATTGGTTTCTAGAAATTTGAATCTTGATGAAAATATCATGGGCCATGGATGCTGAGTCAACATTCTTGCTCTAAATGAATATTATTAACCTTCAAGTGCTTTAGCTTAGTTAGTGAAAATCTGATGTATTGTTCTGGCAATAGTGAAATAATTTCTCTGATACCGTGTAGGTTTCAAGAGATTAGAACTTTATTAAGAAACAGAATATATATATGTAGGAAGAGAAAGATATAAATATGTCATCTTCTGGCCTTTGAACACTGCACTAGTGCATGTAACAGCTGATGAAGTTAGGTCATCTCCGTGTCACGGACCTACGAATGATCCGTGACATCTAAGAAAAGTTCATAGATGTTTCCTTTTCCTACTGGCAGGGGACAGCTGATGAAGTCGTGGATTCTTCTCATGGCAAACAGCTATGGGAGCTTTGCAAGCATAGGTACGATCCTTTATGGGTGAATGGAGGAGGACATTGCAATCTTGAGCTCTACCCGGAATTCATTAGGCATTTGAAGAAATTTGTACTGTCTCTAAACAAATCGAAAGCAGCCACAAACGGTTCCCGATAATATGGTTGAGAACTCTGGCAATCAGACAAAACCATCCGATGGTGCAACTTTGGATACTTTTAAATTGGATGCCGACCTTCCAGAAGTTTCTAGAAACAGCTTAGATAGTCGACTCGAGAAGTCTAAGAAGTTGAATAAGCCTGAGAAGTCTCGAATGAGCACGGACCGAATTGTCGATAGTTTAGACGAAAAAAGGAATCAGTTTGGTGATTACTTGCACAAAGAACATCATAAATAAGGTATGCAGATCTATCTAGTTTGAGGTAACATACTTCTTTTCCACTTAAGCTTTTGTAATATTTTCAGAATGAGTGAAGATTCTCGTAAAATGTTATAATCTTTCTGTATGTATCTCAGATCAGACAAGCGCAATTTAAGCTTAAAAGAATCTTTCTTTATAAATTCATCTCTGTAAAATCAAACGGTTACCCCAATGCTAAATGGGAATCTATTGGTTTTGAGCTATAATTTGTAGGTAGCCACAAAGCCCATAATCTACTTGTAATATTTGCTCCGGCAAACCGCCTAGCTAACAAATGAATCTTGAAAACGGGCCAAACCATCAAGCGCTCACACCAAAATTCAAGCAAGTCTTATCCAACGAAGTGGAGACATTTTGGAGAAAGACTTGCAAAATGAGAAACCATCAAGTAAAACCACTACCATGACGAAAATTTTGATTGTTTTTTACTCGAATCGAGTTTTACTCACTCTAGATGTTGTCATGACGGATTTGAGGTGAACATAAAACTCTAACTGTCATCCCATAGATAAGCATGTTGTTCCCCAACTCGGTTGTCAACATTATATCAGTCGCATTAACGAAACGAACAAATGCAAACGCGAAGATATAGACGTTGGACGCCTTGTCAGAATTGTCAAAGAGCTCCCTAACAACACCGGAAACTCCTTTACTCAATTGTCCGCAAAAGCTACAAAAATCTCTTCCTTACCTGACCAACATGTCCTTCGCATTGAGGCGCGCGTATGGGCCCAGAGCGTGTTTTAAATCTCTCCATCTTTAGTTTCTTTTGTTTTATTTTTCTCAGTAGACTCAGACTTTTCCATATTAACTGTGCCTCACTCCACACGACACAGGTGATTATCAGGGTCTAATCATATATTTCATCTCTATTTTATGATAATTAAAAGTTACTCCATCCACTTTAATTTATCAGGACTAACTTTTAGTTGTTGTAAAGTACAAGAACCAAAAATCATCAACTCAACGATTTGTATACGATAAATTAGCACAAGTCAACAGTTGAAGTTCGTGTGTTTATTAACAATTAGATTAACTTCTAAGTTTTGTAAAGTATAAGGATCAAATTTGATAAATTTAAAAGATAGACAAACTTTCTTAATTTTTGTGAAGTAGAGAGATTAAATTCAGAATTAAACCCTAAATCCACCCCTCTGGAAAAACAAAAATGTCGGAAGCCCAAAGTGCTTACAAGTCAACTCCATATTCAAATAGTCCGAAGCCTTTATTTTGATCACTTTCAGTTTACTTAAAATTCTTCGGAAGCTGAGCAAAGGCAATCCTTTCTATATATCTATGCTTCATCATTATTATTGGACTTATTGTATGCCATCTTTTCTCCGGAAATTTTAGAAAAAAGGAAAATGAATCATCTTTTTTTCTCATCGTCTCTGCCTCACGCGGTGTTGTGGTTATTATTGGTCATGCTTGGTTTTCCTGTTTCACTGAGCGATTTTCTGGGATACAAAAACTGCAGAGAAGCAAGGTTCGAATGTGGGAAGTTGTCCATTGGGTATCCTTTCTTTGGGGGTCTTCGATTACTCGAGTGCGGACATCCTGGTTTGGAGCTTCAGTGTGACCATCAAACCTGACCGTCAAACTCTATGGATTACCAGGGAAGACTTGTTCAACAATGGGTTTAGTAGACCTCAAACCCCGATCAGAGATTCCGTCATAGATTATGAGGTGTTGGATCTTGGGCCCTCCTGCTCTCAGTTATACCAACGTTACCCTGTTTTTTGACTGCCCCCACCATCCCCGTCATCCAGCCTCGGAAGCTTCACTTGCGGTTCATCAAGCTACAATAATATTTCCCTAACCACGGATAACCTCCGTTTAGATGGATGCTCAGCAAGCGTTAGCTTTCCCATTTTTCAAACCAACTGGGCAGGGTTTCGCGGTAATCCCTCCCTGCTTCTGGTTTTGGGAGAAGCCATGAAAACAGGGTTCCAGGTGAAATGGGAGGAGGATACCTCAGCCTGCCGCAAGTGCAATGCTTCCGGCGGAGCCTGCGGTTTTGACATCTCCAACACTCAAACATTCTGCTACTGCCCACACCCATATCAGAATTTGGAATATCGATAGCCTGTTGAGAAAAAAAAAATTGAATTTAATTGATGTATTTAATATTTATATTAAATTTATAAGTTTTTTTTTATTGAAATGACCGTCCAGCTCAGTTGGTAGAGCGTAAGGTTCTTAACTTTGAGGTTGTAGGATCAAGTCTCACGGAAGACATTTCATAATTTGGAGGTCTCCAACGAAAGTTGTTTTTAAACTCGACGTTGGGGATTACTTACTATTCTACCTCCCCTTACCCCATTACATATGAGAATAAGGGTTAGCTAATTTTTTTTATAAGTTTTTTTATTATTGCAAATTGTATATATTATTTAATTTGAATATTAGTAGGATAATTACTGTAATACCATTAACCCACATATGTATCTGTATACAAATAAAAAGATGTCACATCAGTTATACGAATCATTTACTATTTGAAAATCAGTAAAAAATTATTTGTTTAAAATCTCAAAATGCATTCTTTATTTTAAAATTAATAATTGCACAAAATCATAATTTAATATTTACATATCAAAATTTAAATTCAATTCAGATAATATTTTAGGTAATTCTGTACTGTAACATATCTTAAATCAAAATTGTCAGAAAATTACTTGATTTGAAAATCGTTTCTATCATAAATAACTACGATTTAATAAACCAACATTCATAATTAATAATATTCTTTGTAAAACCAAACTTTCATAACTTAGACAAAAATATCTTAAAGAGACTCGAATCAGAGTAGTTAGAAACTTCTTTGATATACATGCCACTACGATATAAATTAATAGACATGATGTCCTTACTGATTCTGATGGCATAACTTATTCCTCGAAAATGATAGTAATGTGCTTCCTAAATTCTCATTCTAGGTTGCATTAAGTGTGAACACTCACACGCTAAGTTTTCACTTAATGAGGCAACCAAGTACAATAAAATAAAATATTTAACGTATAAAACAAACAATATCTGTATCGTATAAAAACATTAATAAAATAAAACATGTATAAAATCATATGTTAACTCGTAATAAGAATTTATTATAAAAATATGTAATTCAGACTATACTATGCCATTTTAAATATGTACATTTCTATTTCAGTTCATATCATTGCAAAGTTATACTTTTCTTTTCGAAATCATATCAGTTCAAATCCATACTTTTCTTATTCATATTAGACATTTTCCCACTGTATTATCATGAGAATACGCGAGTCAGATAACGAGTGAGCGCGCTATATACAAATTTATTGTCAGAACAGATTGCACCGAGTCACTCCACCTCGTATACCACTGAGGCACCCGAGTCAGACCACGAGTGACCCATCTTGGTGCCATATAATGCACATATAAAGCTAATCAGATGCACCAAATCACTCCACCTCGTGCACCACTAAGGTATGCACAGTCAGACCACGAGTGGTCCACACTGATACTTTATCAAAAACATATTCAGATTCACTCCACCTCATGGCATGCGATTGTACCACTAACCCTCATTTTCATACAATAGGCTTTGTTCTAAGATAATTACTAATTTGCATATAAAACCATTCATACACATAATCGAATATAAAACTAGAACTGGACAATTCATACAAAAAAATATTCACATGCTATGAAATAAAATATCAAATAAAATAATTTGGGTTATTCAAACCCAAAATCATATGAAAACCATTTAGTAAATCAATATAAAGATATTTCATAAAATAATTCAAATTGTTTCGATTGAAAACCTTCGAGGTTGGCTCATTTAAAGCCGTTCTAGTATCAAATGTAAAATAAGTAAGTTGCACTGACCTGGTACCTCATCAGCTTATCCTACGATCACCTTTATAACACTCGTATCCGATTAATTTTAATATCAATTATAATCACGAACTACTCGATCATCGATTTTCAACATATAAAAGATTCACATACATTAGTACTCGTACTATTATAACAAAATTAAATTCGAATTGTAATTCTAAAAATTCGAATTGTAATTCTAAAAATTTGACTAAGGAACATTTGATACTAATTTCTACCCCGAAATCGAAATCAACCTTAACTTAACCAAATTCACTCTTGAACTCCGTTCTTTTTTCTTTTTGCTTGTTTTATTCTCGATTCAGTCACGATCTATTTAAAAATTAATTATCCGACATAAACAATTTCGAACATGTGTTAGTATCTAACCAACTTGTTAAACATGTATCCGTATATAATCTGATAAAATACAGTAAATAAATATTCGATACTAATTTCTATAACTAAATCAATTCTACTCAACTCTTGCAAAAATAACCTTCCTAGTCATTGAAAAATAATAATTCTCAACCTTAAATCACTTAACTTTTATCCTAGTTATTGAAAATAATAATTCTCAACCTTAAATCACTTAACTTTTCACAATTTAACATTTAACCCATAATTACACATTTCTTCTAATTAAAACCTAATATTTCAAAACTTTTCAAATTGGTCCTTACTATTCACTTTAATTCCTAACAACCATCATACTCAACTAATTTCATTATATTTCCAAATTAGTACATTAATCTTGCACGTTTGCAATTTGTCCACTAACTTTCCAAAAACTTGCAATTTAATCCCTAGGAATTACTCAACTTCCAAATCAATCAAATTCAACATTTCATCAATCCAACTATAATTTCCAGCATAGTACCATAACTTTTCAACATTTACTTTACAATCCTCCAATTTCTCAAAACTTGCAAAAAGATCCTCTAAACTTAGCATTGATCCAAATTGATCCAAAACTTAATTCAAACCTTATGAAATCATCCTTCTATCTAATTTAAACCCAAAAGAAATTTTTATACAAAATTTTCTAATTTTTTTCTCCATGAAAGTTTTGGATACTTTCCTTAATGGTCTCCAACTTTAATTTAAGTTTGGATTCATCACCTACAACTCATTCCCATTCATTCTAATCATTCCCGTAACAAAAATAAATCAAAATCAACATTTCTTCATTCAAACCCATCATGAACGAATGCTTTCAACTTAG